ATATATTTATAGAAATTCTTTTTATTGTTTTTAACATCCAAAGCCAGGTTGAGCTCTAGGTGGGCTTTGGCCTTCCTAATCTTTTCCCTACATAACTTTGCTACACCTTTGTAATCTTCCTGCGTGGCCTGCCCCTTTTTCCAAAGGTCATAAATTCTCCTTTTTTCTCTAAGCTGTGACCCTATCTCTTTGCTCAGCCAGGCCGGCCTTTTCCCCCGACGGCTCGCTTTACACCGTGTAGGGATGGCCCGTGCCTGGGCTTTTAATACTTCCTCCTTGAAAAACACCCAGCCTTCCTGAACACCTTTGCCCTTCAGGGATTCCTCCCATGGGACTTTTCCAACCAGCGTTCTGAAAAGGCTGAAGTCCGCCCGCCGGAAGTCCAAGGTTGAGGTTTTGCTAGCCCCCTTCCTTACCTCTCTAATAATTGAAAACTTGACCATTTCATGGTCGCTAAGCCCAAGACGGCCTCCGACCACCACATTTCCCACTAGTCCCTCTCTATTTGTGAGCAGCAGGTCTAGAGAGGCACTTCCCCTGGTCGGCTCACCTACCAGTTGTGTCATAATGCCTTTACCTTGCCTTTTCTCATTTGGCACTCCGTGAGCAGCAGATACAGTTCTGATTTTTCCAGCTGCAACCTGTGAGAACCTTTACCCATTGCCCAGCACCACAGTTTTCTCACAGGTGTACCTGCTGCACTCAGGTGCACTCTGCAATCTGTGCCATCAGGCTGTGACATCCCGCAGCCCCCGCTGCCATGGGTATGCCACCCAGGTGTCTGATGCAGCGCAAGGGCCAGTTGTCTGCAAAACGTGATCCCAGCCAACAGACCCCCTGTTTGCAGCATTGTTGCTTCCAATCTGGGGATTTTGCCAATTCCCAGGGCAGCTGGAGGTGGTAGAGGCTGAATTTTTCCCTCTCTGAGGCAATGTAAATTGGCAGCAACTGTGCAGCGCACATGTGGTGCGTGAGATGGGTGGATGTGACCAAAGGTTGAGGAGAAGGTTTTATGTTGGCATGTTCTGTATCTCAAGGTATCTCTAGTGTGCTAGAGATATTTTGGGGCTACTGCCTGAGGCAGGAGCCTGTGGGCAAGGCTCCAGAGCTGCTGCTCTTGCCCAGGGAGCGGGCTGACAGCAGGCGCTGCAGTGGGGTGCAGAGAGCAGACATGCTCCATGCAGTTCCCAAGGACGATGACAGCACTAGCTGTGGGCTCAGAAACAAACCAGCCCCACCAGCAGAGCCTGTGCTTGAGATAATTTTGACCACTGAGGAGGTAAAGGCTGGTGCATCACTGTGTGGCCACAGCTGGAGCACCTCCAGGAGCCAGGGAAAGGGGCTAGTCTGCAGTGAGCTCACAGGAGGGGAGAGCACCAACACAGGACAGCAGAGAGGGCAGCCCCCTGTCTTTAAGGTCAACTATTTGTAAAAAGGGAAATGACACCATTTGCTGCCTGTACTTGATGTACTGTAAAACACTCCTGGGATGGGAATGCAAATACAAACCGAGATGGTGACGGTTTTACGTCACTCGTGTCACAGCTGCCTGGTGTTAGATTTATTGTGTGACAGCATCGGCACGCCGGGGCTGGGCACTGCGTGGTCCTCGCTGGTGTGTGGGTCAGACAGCCGTGTCAGACACACGGCGTCCCAGCCTGTGCCCCACGGGGCCTGCTGCCCTGGGGACCACCGTGCAGTTTGGTTTGATTCTTCACTGAGGGAGGATTGAAAAAATCTGGCTGGATTTTACCTGTTTTAGATGCTGTGCCTGTTAGTTGTTACTGCTTTGCAGGCTTGTCATGTGCAACACAAAGCCTTTATCTGACTCGGTTGTTTTGTCCCAGACAAACTACCTTTTTCTATTAGTGCATTGATTTTCAAAGATGCATTAGAAGGTGCTGTCAAATAGGTTTTCGTGTTTTCTAATTTTTCAAAATCTTTGTCTGTTAATTCTTAGAGTTGAGTCATGTCTTTTGGTTCTTATTTCAGTCTATGCAAGACGGTTTTCTTGCAATGCCCCTCAAACTTTGTGCTTTTCTTTCTGATATGAAGAAGGAGTGCTGCTCCCAAAAGCCTTGGCTTCTTTTTCCTTTCACTGTGTCAGTGTGTCAGTGTGACTGGTAGTTGATATTAGCTGTACCTGCAAGCTGTGCCTCTCCTGGAGCACCAGGCATTAGCATTTGTGAAGGAATTTGTTCTGTTACTTAATTTTTTGCTGAGACAGTTTATCTCTGCTGCTCTTTGAAGTGCTTCTGCAAGCTTCCTGGACTAGAGAACAGATGTTGGGTTTTTTTCCCTCAAGTTGATCAGTGCAAGAAAGGGTGATGTAGGTCACTACAGGACTTGACTAGCAATAGACTTACTTTTCTCATGTTCTCCTCTATTGTGATTCTATTCATCACCACACAGAAACAGTGGAAACACATCTTTCCCTCTGACAGGCAAATAGTTCTCTCTCCTCCAGCCCTTTGGTTTGCTCCAGAGCTCTTTGTTCCCTGAATTACTGAAGATAACACAAACATTTTTCTCAACTGCTTTGAAAGTGCTGCTGTGACCCTAGTATCTCAGAGTTTACTCCCATCTTTTCAATCCGTGGTCCCGTTAGCATCTTAAGATGAGTTTTAGCAGGTTTCCCCTCTGAATTCCTACCCCACCGTATACCCATCCTATGTCAAGTGCTTTTGGTTAAGAGGAGGCTGACAGGTTGGAAAGGCTAGGTTGGAAAGCTACTCACCAGCAATGTTTCTTGGCCAAGGAGGAGAACTTTTGTAGTCTCAGAAGCAAGGTGCATGAGAAATAAGGATCCCTAACAGCTGCTGGCCCAAAGGGTTTGTAATCCTCTGGTTCTTCCTCCCCTTGGAGGAAGAGGTGAAGTGCCTGGCCTGACAAAACAAGCAAGACTGCTCAAGGGGCTGGGCTTGTTCAGTTTGATGCTTCTGAGCTGTCAGTGATCCCAAACAGCGTTAGACCAGAGGCACCTAACCCATGAACTGAGGAGCTCTTACGCTGGACATGAGAAAAGCCTTATCCTTGAGTTGTCCATCTGTGCAGGGTGATTTGGAGCTCGTGTTCGTGAAGGAAGTAACAATAGCAAAATCCTTTTAACTATGGATCTGCAGGTATTTCTGTACCCACACATCTGATCTCATATCTCCTTGCAAACTAAAGGCTGTGTCCCTGGCTTGCCAGTGTTTCTCACTTGAGCTGCTCAGCTGAACCTGTTTTGTGCACCAACCTATTGAACTTCTCCCACTAGAGTCTCCTCTTTATTTTACTTTATTAAGCCCTAAAAATCCTACCTGAGCTTCTTTTTATAACCAGAAATAACTACGACACAGGTGAAATAACCAGGACACTCAAGCCTATAGAGTAATTTAGTGGCGAAGCCAGAATTAATATCCAAGAGATCTGATTCTCAGTGCCAAGTATGCAAGTATCTGCTATGAAAAACTGCAGACAGGAGGTCATGCTGGAAGATTAAAAAGAGTCATGTGGGATGTGGATATGAAACACACAGAAGACAGAAAAATCCCTGGAGACCATTTAGAACATATTTAATTGGCTTTATAGATAAATAACCTGCCAAGGATGGTGGCAGCGAAAGGAGACCCCTTCACCTTCTGAAGGCATTGGTGTTGAGCGTAATCATTCCTATGGGGTGCTGCTCAGCTGAGAAGCAATTAGAGTATGAATAAAGACTTAAGCAATGGCAAGATTAAGAACATGGCAATGCTCATGAGGGTTCAGCATACAGACATCATGTACAAGGACATGGTACTCTGGGGAAAGTCAAGTGGTAGTCCCTATGCCATTAGTAACCCATTGAGTCATCTAGCCCCCCTTTCCCTGCTCTTTAATGCAGTGTATCAGCAGGCTGAGTCCTTATTGTTTTGCAAACTGCTCTCCACCGCTGAGTTGTCTCCCACATGATTGTGAAAATGAGTTTGGATAACTTTAAATTCCATGCTAAATGCCTATCTTTCATTCTAAGAGCATGCTTTCTCCAGTACAGTTGGAAGTTTTGCTTCTGTTGGATAATCTAACACGTTTGACAGTTAGATGCGGTGAAATAACATTTATTACAGTCAAGACATGCTTAGCTGCAGGAACTTTCTACCATTATTTAACATAACAGTGAGCAAAAAAGCTATTTGAAGTCAAGTCACTTTGCAATGAGCAGCTGTTTCATTATAAAAGTGGGATAGTTTGATCCTCTGAATTGCCACATACCACAGAGAATGTGTTAAATGTAGAGAATAAGATCACTGGGATTACAAAACCCAGAAAAGCAAATCGATGCATTGCATTCAGAAACTGCTCTGGACCACGGACTTAACCTTGATCACCACTTTTCGCTCTATTTTCTTTAATGATGCCTATCAAAACATCATCATTAGGGCTCTCGCTTTGCCTTTAGCTGAGTCTAGTAAGAAGCAGTGTACTGAAGAAGTCCCAAACCCATCGGGTGCACAGGAGCATAGGCCACCCACAGCCCTCTTCCAGCTGCGTCCCCTGCTCCCCGGTGGCTGTCTGCAGTGTGGTGCAGCAGCAGGACATCTTTCTGGCCCCAGTATGAGACCAGAAAAAAAGTTTTGTGGCCTCCCTATCTTGGTTACTTCCATGCCCACCTGAAAACTCTTGTGTCTAGAATGAAAAGGGTGCTATCATATCTTTCATCAGTTTATTGGATATGGCCTCAAAATACATAATTCAAGAGGACATAGGAATTAGAGTGCTGACAACTTCATAGGATACTCTTTTTCAAGTAAAAGTGTGATAGATTGCAATTCATTTTACATACCCACTGATAATAATTTCAATGTTTCTCTAGAAATAAATATTTTACAGCTATGAATAATTCATAGGCACTTTCCATAGAAGTTAATTCAAGACCTTACAATAAAAATCATTGCAGCAGAGGGCCGTGAAGACAAAAAAACCATGGTGGCTCACAAACTGTGGATGTTTATCTGCCCATCAGAGGGAGTGGGGTCATTAGTATAATTTAGATTAATGGAGTGTTGAGAGTTCTGAACATTTTGTAAATGGCTTTTTCGCTTAAGGGCTTTTTGGCCTTTTGTTTTCTTATGCACCTCTTTTATCACTGTTAAGTTAAAAGAGTAAAAATACCATCAGCAATGACTACACGCTACCCCTCAAGGCCTCAACATACCTGTTTGGTAATGAATAAAACTGGCTTGGGCGCTGGAAGTGTCACGCTCAGTGGATCCCTCCACTCTCTGGAGCTCTCTAGCAGCGTGCCACAGCGTGTCTAACCGTGTGCCCGTGTCTCCTCTCACTGTCGTTGGTACAGGTGGAAGATATCACCGCTTCACATGAGGCTGCCATCTTACAGTTGGAAAATGACCATATAGTTGCCATTACGGTGCTGAAGGATGAGAACGACTGGAAGATTCAAGGTAAGCCAGTGACAACCCGATGGCTACAGAGCTATTCCAGAGCAGGAATTAATACTGTAGAGAGATTGTGTAAGCCTGGATTTTCTTCCTTCAGAGCAAATGATGCAGAAAATTTGTATTGATCTAGTGCTTTCAGATGGAGTGGACGACCAGGCTCATGCTAGGGGTGAGGGACAACTGTGTGCAGTGTGTACAGCATCTAACTTGGACCTGAGACTACCTGAGGGGTCTTTGGGCCAAGGATAAGGCTTTCTCCATGGGTTGCTGAACACAGAATCCAAATTCAACCTCACCTCACACAGACTTTTCTCAAGAGCCTACTCCCCAGGTGCTCAGGAGGCTAGACCTCATTGAACATCTCTGAATTTAGGTGCTTAAATGCCCACACTGCTTCTAAAAACAAGTCTTGTCGTTTTCAGTAGCAAAAGTCTGGCCGTGCTGAGCAGATCAAAGCCACACGCTGCTGCGGATCTGCACTTCACCGCCGTTACCTTTATTTTATGTTATGGTTTTTCCATGGCATTTGATGCTGCAGAGAGAGCTGCTTCCTCCCTACCAGTTCCGTATCTAAATACATTTCTTTGTACATGCTTTAGCTGACATTTAACAGTTATTTGTACCATCGCCCTCTTTTTTTTTTTTTTCACACACAGGCATGAAGGTCTAATTTTCGAATAGCTCTAGTAGGTTTTCCCACAACATTCCCCAGACAAAGCCACATTGCTTAGCTCTGCACAGTATCCATTAGAGACACAGTCCTGTAGGCAGAGATGGTATCTGGCATACAGCTTTTAAATTAGCATATACAAGTTTGAAATTAATTTTAAAAAGACCTGTTCCTTGCTTGAGGATATTTTTATCTGTCCAATTTTCTTAGTATTTGCCAATGATTTAACTTGGCAGTGGTTTATGAGGGCTCTGGTGGCCAGTTTGAGCTCCTTGCTCCAGGTGTGGGTACGAAATGCCCTCCTGTGCATGGAGAAGGCATTGCAGCAGCTGTGGTCCAGCGCACCGTGCGGGGCACTAGAGCAATAGTGTTATTGCTGCTGTTACTGTGGGTAGTGAGCAACAGTTAGAGGGCAAAACCTGGAGGTAAAGACACAAAAAATAGTCTCCATGTACTAAAAAGGCAGGTGCTACTACTGTACTGAATGACAATTTGATGCCATTGGTTTAGAGATTAAACTTCGTTCCACTTTGGTTATTAAACTTCTGGTTATTATTAAGCTCAGGGTGAGTTGTTCTGGAGGTGAAACCTTTAATCATATAATATGAATAGAGGAATATTTTCTCTTTGGGCTCTGTCAGCCTCACTAATGGAATAAACCTCACAGGGCATCTGCCACAGCTCCTGGGAGAAGCACTGTCATTTGCATTTTTGCATCTGAGTTGCTGGCCCCTCTCTTTATCTCCCCAAAGAAATTGCAAGCCAAGATTTTTAATATATTAAATTTAAAACTCTCAGATTTAGGGTTACTCACTCTGAACTGGTAAATGACCCGTTGTCAGACTGACCCTTTTCAAATCAGAGCCCCTGGGAGGGGGGAATTCTGAGCAGTTCTGAAAAATCAGAATCTGTTCACGTGGAAACTGAAATCCTGAAACAATTCACCTAAGGTCACACAGTATATTTGTATCAGTTTCCTACTCAACTTCCATGCCCTAAAACTGCAGCCCAAATTGCGCTTGACTCACGATGGCTTTGCTCTTGGACCCTGGTTTGCTGGACTTCACTTAGCAGTGTCATGTCTTTGTGTCTTCCCCTAGAACTGAATACTGGTCACAAGCTGGAAAAGGCACAATTAGAAGAGAATTTTGAAAAACTGCGTCTGTCACTCCAGGTTAGCAGTTTCGTTATTTCCCACCCCTTTAATGATGTTGTGGAGCAGCTGACGGGGCAGCCCCAGCCCCCTTGCCAGCTGCCAGCACACCAGCTTGTTACTTCTTACCAGCTAGAGTACCTCGTGTCCTCTGCCTGCCCAAACTGGGATCTATCAGACAAGGTGCCCCCTCACGTTTTTTCCTCCCCCTTGGTTGGTTCAGCAAAATACTATCTGAAAGAGAAGAGAGGACAAACCTGAAGGGAGGAAAAAGCAACTGGATAAAGCAAAGAAATGTCCTTTTGACCCTGCTGGCCCAGCACAAGGAGCAAAGTTGAGCTCTTCCCCCTGCATGGTGGGGAGAGCTCGAGCACCTGCAGTGCCTGTGAGCATCATCTTGCCTACATGGTACCCTCCAGCAGGCACCTCTGGGGCTCAGAAACACTCACCTCTCCCTGCCTGGCCTGTGCTTGTGCTTTAAACTCTTCCCCACTGCCTGGAGGTGGGGGAACTGGCCCTGCAATCTAGACACATCTCCATTCCCACCGGAGGGCAATGCAGTCCCTGATGAAGGATGTCCCAGGGCTGGCCCTGTTCTGCAGCCAGGCTATGGCTGGCCAGGATCAGCCCTGCAGAGTCACATCTCCCACATCCCGCTATTTAACATCAAGCTCAAGACCGTCTTGGCTTTTTTGGCCCTTCTTATAACTCCGTGCTGTTCTCTCCCTCTAGATGAAGAAATCCCAAGGAGCAGAGGGCAGAAACATGCCCCTGTGATTCATGCTAAGTTTGGAAATCTTGTGTGAACAAGTGAAAATGCCACAGCAAATAATGCAGGCTCTGTTTGATTTCATAGGCAGAGATGAATTGCAGTTTTTAAGCCCCCTGACTAGCACACACACAGCGACTGCCACTGCCTTCCTGTGGCTGTGACAGTTCAAGGCATGTTAGCAGCTTTGCAATAAGCACTGCTGTAATGTTACAGCCAAGAAATTACATATAGGAAAGATAAGAATACCAGTTTCACAGCAACCATGGCTTTCACAGACGTTGTATACAGAGAGGTAACAAAAATATGACTGCTTCAACTAGCATGTTGTTCTGTTTATAACTCTGAGATGAAATGACAATCTTTAAGTTCCACATCACTAATTTATCGTTGTTTTTTACCATGTTATAAGCCCAGAAAGGTGAAGGAAGCAGGGATGGGGTATCTACTGACCCATTCAGACTCTAGGGACCACACAAATGGTCTTTTCCATGCCTCTGATATAAATGCCAGCTCATTTAATGAAGGACAGATTCATTCTCATCCAGCCCAAGGTGATGGGGTGATTTAGCATCAAAGACACTTCATGAGGTAGTGCCAGTCAGTGTCAGCCAGCTGCAGGCGTTGCAGGGATTTTATCAAAAACCCCAATGTATGTTAAAGTGGACTTACATAAAAAACACCACCTCGCAGGGGTTTCTAAGCCTCGTTCAGATCCCCTGGTGGTTTCTCAGTGCAGGTTGACTTGTGTGAATGTAAGAGGAGTGATAACATGGTTGATGTGTCTCCCCTCCAGGACCAGATAGACACCCTCACCTTCCAGAACCAATCTCTTAAGGCCAAAGCAGACCGATTTGAAGAGGCTCTGAAGAAAAACACCGAGGAACAACTGAAGGTAGGTAGATGGCAACTACAACTATACAGTCGTCAAGACACATGTTTCTAAGTATGACCCACATGACGTGATTCAGTGGATAGCAATGGGATCCTTATGCCAGGGACTGGGGGGCAGGTCCCAACCAAGAACACAGTTGTAGAGCTCTGACCAGGAGTCAGAAATCTTAGCCTAGGTCCATCATTTTCTAATTTTACTTCATTTTCTTGATTCTTTCACCCAGCATTTGTAGCTCTGTTTCTGAAACACTTTATTAACTCCAACTAGTATGTTCTTACTGCTGTCTGTTCTTCTTTCCCTTCTTCCTCTCATTCTCTTTATTTCACATTTCAGTTTCTTTTTTTTTTTTTTTGTGCTTTCTGAACCAACTTACTTGATATCCTTTGTATTCCCTCTTTTTTTTCTGGACTTGCAGGGGACAGGCCTGTCATATGAAGCATTTATTCAACTGCTGTCTATTGGGGTCATGCTGTTTATTTACAGTGTGTAAGTAAACACACACTGCAATTATTTATCTGAAATTAAATGACCCTCCAAAAATGAATTTTCTTTCAACTTGGGGCATTTCAGTGTGTTCACAGCACTACCCCATCAGCATGATAGGGATCATGATGGGATGCCCCATCACTTCCAGGGATGGGGTATCCACAACTCCACTGGAACAGGTTGCCCAGGGAAGTTGTGGATGCCCCATCCCTGGAAGTGTTCAAGGCCAGGCTGGATGGGACCTTGAGCAACCTGCTCTAGTGGGAGGTGTCCCTGCCCATGGCAGGGGGGTTGGAACTAGATGATCCTTGAGGTCCCTTCCAACCCTAACCATTCTATGATTCTATGACAGATGGAACAGAGAGAAAACAATGGGGTGAGGAAGGGGTTCAGTGAGTTTTTCAGTGAGAAAAACTCCTTAGGAAAGGAGCACAAATGTCTGAAACAGGTTTGGCCATGGGAAACAGGCAGCATCAGTCCCTTTCCACCTTCGCCGGAGTGATTTACATGAAAGGCCAAATTCTGCTGTGTCACAGGGATGTTAATGCCAAGTACCACCAGGCAGTTCATTGGGAAAAATTCAGAACAGCTTAAGTTAGCAACAGTATTTCATCAGTATAATTCAGAGCACATCCTTTGCCCATGGGTTGAACCCTAGTATCCCCTACATGTGAAGTTCTCAAGCATAGGAGGAACTTTTCCCCACCATATCTGATCTTTATTAACAGGAACTGTGAAGCAGTGGTGCAGGAAAAGCAGAACACTGTAGTTTTCACTTCCAACCCCTTTGTCCAGTTTCCTCTGTTTCATGTTTGTACTTTTCCCAAGCCAAAATACCTGCACAATCATAAAACACCTCATGCAATTCCCAAGCTATGAGTAGGAATGAGGTTGCTGAACAACCTGGTGTCCCATTCTTCTAGCCATGAGGCTGGCAAAAGAAAGGTACCCTTGGCTATCCAAAGGGATGGTCTCAGAGAGAATATAAGGGCTCAGATGGGCTGCGGAGATCCAAGTCCAGGTGGTTTTCACTGAGACTCCTAAGCCACTGGCTGCATTGAGGAAACCTTAGCTTCTGGCTGAAGACGCATTTGTGGCTGACAGATATCCAAATCACTGGTGTATTTCCTAGATTGTACGAGCTCCATATCTGCACATAGAAGAAGATCTGAAGAGCTTAAAACATGTTCTGGAAATGAAGACCCATCAGATTCACCAACAGGAGAAGATGATTATGGAGCTAGAAAAACAGGTGAGTTGTCATTTTTCCACCAGAGAAGACATGAAAGAGATAATAAAGTTTGGTTACAGCAGATGAACTTGAAAAGGGTGAGAAAACACATGGTGTTGGGGAAGGACGCAAAGAAGTTCATTAGTGGCTATAAATTGTGTTGTTCCACTGTCAACCTACATAGCTGCTTCTACTATACCATGTCTCAGGTTTTCACTCAGAAATTGGGATCTTTCCCCATGCCTTCACCCAACCGTGATACCTTTGATTTCTCCTACACATCATCCTAAACATCATGTATTGCTTTTTTGTGCAATACCTGCCCAGCCTGTTAGGTTGGACAGCGAGGCAAGTGGTGTAGGAAGAATGGAGGAAGGGGAACTTTATGGAAGTCCAGAGCTTAATTTTGTACGCTGTCCTTCACCATATGCCCCTTCTGGATTCAGGTAACCATTTAGAAGAGGACAAGTGGAGGAAGACTGACCCATGTGTGTCTTGCTGCTGCTTGTGCAGGCATTTAGGGAGCTCCCAGCCACGAGTATGAATTAGTGATATTCAGCAAGCTGTCTCTAGCAAGGCCTATGCTAGGGAAGGTCTCTCCAACCCTAAAGTAATGCTTTTCTGCAGCCTATGCTGTTTTCTCATCCATTGCTTGTCAGGGTCCCTAACAAAGAACTCCCCAGTTCACCATCAAATACATTTTTTTTTTGTTGGAAAGGGGATTGATTTTGTCAGGCATAACCTACAGTGACAGAAAACGTGCAGCGTGGTGACAGGAGGAGACACTACCTCAGCTGGGGAGCCAGAACAGCTGGTTCAGCGCAGCATTCAGCAAGATCTGTTTCCATTTACAGGGAAATTTGAGAACTCTGAGGATTATTTTGCTGAACAGATGCTTGAGTAAGTGGAAGTAGAGAGAAGTGCCTCTTTGTAACTGAGGCTTGTTAACTGTGCTCCTTCCAACACGCTGCTCCTGGAGCGAAGCCAGCATGAGCTGTAGTGTTATACTGGAAAAAAAAAAAAATCCCAAACAACAGCCTACATAGTTCCTGGCCATTTAGCTGCTTTTGCTAATTAACCACACATGAGCACACAGTCCTGCTCCTGCCCTTAATCATAGGAAAACACTGGCTTTGCAGCGGTCCACAGACACAACTGCTTTCTCTTTAAAGAGCTACCTTTATAGGTGCCAGAACATCTACAGGGCACCTCCAAATGCTCTTAAAGATGGGGTACCTCATAAGGGAGCAGGAGGGCATTTCAAATGCAGGATCAGGCTTGGCTCCTTCTCTACCAAAAGGGAGGCTGGAAATGAAGGTGGCAGGGGAGGGGTGGTATAGGGTGAAGGTTGCAGTGGAGACGGAAGGAGATGCTCAGGTCATCTCCCATGCTTTGTACTGGCATAGCTACTACTTATAAAACTACTGAGGAAGCAGAGAGGGGGCCCATGACGGTGATTACTCTCTCAAAACATTTCAAAACAGGGCCAGAATCCTTGTTCCACTCTAACAGAATATACTGGGATAGGCCAGAATATCTGAGAATCAGGAGTATCCTCTATGATTACCTGCATAGATTGCAAACCACGCATAAAATTGATGCCTCCACCATGAAATGTGAGTTATTGCAAACTCCAGTGCACAATATTTTGGTTTTTTGTAAAAGGTTGGGAAATTCAATAACCTACCTCACACAGAGATAAGGTTACCCTGTAATATCTTGTTTTCTTCCAAAAGTGTTGACTTCAGCAACATTCAAACTGCTGGAAAACCAAGAACTAAGGTGATAAAGTAGGTCAAATTCAAAACTTGGGAAAAACAGGGCACCTGAGGCTGTAGTACTTGCCTGTAAACATCTTACTGTTGTTTTAGTACACTGCTATTGACATCCTCAAACTCTGTCCTTGAATTGTCCTGAGGAAAAGCTACCTATGCTTGGGATTGGATGAATCAAGGCCAGGCTGGATGGGGCTTTAAGCAACCTGGTCTGGTGGGAGGTGTCCCTGCCCATGGCAGGGGGGCTGGGACTCGATGATCTTTAAGGTCCCTTCCAACCTGAACCATTCTATGATTCTATGAATTTTGTTTAACTGTAGCTTAAAATTAAATGTCTAGTTTAAGCCTGCCATTTAAGCTGACGCTGCCAGCAGTAGAGAGAAGTGTCTCCAAAGGGAAGCCCACCACAGTGGTCTAAGGTTGCTTCTGGGTGTAATCTGCCTTGGTGGGTAACTCCTTCCTCCCCATAGCCAAGGAGTCATGATGTGTGAGTCAGATCTCTACATCTCAGCTGCAGTCAAGACGACCACCTCCATCTATCCTCCAATTTTGGAAGCTGCTTTAGGGACAAATAAAGATAAAGAACAAATCCTCTTGGATCAGGTGTTTGGCTTTCTTCAGACTTAACGAACCTTCTCTCATTGCAGGTTGAAAAAAATTTTAAACTGGAAGAAAAAATCACTGTGCTGCAGCAGCAGAATGAAGAACTCAGAGCCAGAATTGAGCAAAATACTGTCATAACAAGGTTTGTGCTGGTATTTGGAATCTGTTTGAAAGGAGACTGCAGATCTTAACTGCCCAAGGCTGGCACTTACTTTGGAAAGGGAAAAACTTATTTCCTCCTGAAAGTGTATTGGTGTCCTGATCTGCTTGTTTTATTTTTAAAAATCTCTTTTATATTAGGTTTTGCTTACTTTAACATAAGAAAGGGTACGTATCTGTCTGGGTATTTCCATGATTTTGACATGCTGCTGAGACAAAAGTTGCCAGTGGCTTCTGATCTCAGTGTCAGTGCCCTGAGACCCGTTAATCAGTGGGTAACAAAGGTGGGAAATAGGATAATTTCAGGGGAGACATCATAATGACGCCACTGTCACCCAAGCAGGGTTGTTCTTTGTTTTTTTTCATCTGCACTGTCTGTTTATACCCTTGTCACAACCTGATAAGGGTGACAAGGCTCCTAGTGTAGAAGTAGAGAAGGGTAGAACAGTCCCTGTCCCAGAGAGTTTATAGTCTGCCATAAGGGAAAAAAAGGCAGCTGGGGCCAGGCAGAAAGGGTACCAGGGGAGATGCCAGACCTGAACTTGTCCCAACACACTATATGTCATTTGTTGCCAGAAATGATGCCGTTGGCCTAAAATGCAATTCAATTTTTAGCTGAATTTTTAAAGCCTCAGCGTCCCATCTCTGGTTTAATTCTACGTTTTGTCTTTCTACTGTCTCCTGTATTAATGATTCAGCCTTTTAAAAAAATTGTCTCTTGCATATAGATATTTTTAAAAGTCAGCATTGTTTGTAGTAACATTCGGGCTGGGGTGGGGATTATGTTTCCGCTCACCTGATTGCAAATAGCTGTAACCCACATGTCACTGTCTGAGGTGGGTGTCTACAGCCTTTCTGTGCTTGGGGAGCAAAACCAGGAATTTTTAATGTCTGGTTCAACGGATGGGTTTGAGACACCTGGAAGTGGCAGTGTCTCTCCACACCTGTGACAGCAGCCAGGGTGCCCGGGTTCGGTGCTCAGGTCTCTCTGCATTGCCGGTCCCTGCCTCCGGCTGGTTTCGAAGAACATCTGCCAGGAGAAATTCTGAACTTGAGGTCAGCCTGGAAAGTCAGCTTAGAGGACAGTCATTTTCAACAGTAACAGTTGGGGGACAGCTATGGGGACAGTGTCAGGCAGGCTGCTGGCTGGAAAAGGATGTAATGGGGCTTCGTGTATAACTTTTGTGGCCTGTTGTGTCTTGTTAGATACTGGAAAAGAAAATAGTAATTCCACATCTAGCAAGAGGTTTCGTATGGAGTTATTTCTTCAGGGTGAGCTCACTTGTGGACTTTCTCGTGCCTGTTAGACTGTGAGCTCACGACACAGCTGGTTCCCTGATGGGACTGCAGATAGGATTTTCCTCCTCTACCAAGCAGTTTTCTGAAAACATCTGCCATCTTGTGTCTGTCAGTCCTTCAACTCTGCTAGCCACTGCTTCATGGTTCAAAACTTCCAGGGACTCGGAGAACAGACATATTCTTGATCACCTGAGCTCCATTTCTGACAGAACCAAGGCTAAAAAAACAGAAATTCTTTAAAAATGTTATTTAAACAAAATCAGAAATGCCAACCCCACCCTCTCAGAGTCTTTTGATGACACAAAGAGAGTGGACCAGCAGTCCCTGACATCTGCTATAGGCTTCAGGCTATACCTAGAAAAGGAGCTGTGCGGAATTTTGTGTTTGCATCCAAAATCCACGCCCAGCTGCTGCTGAACCCAGGAAATAGCAAGGAGGGGGGTTAGATGTCTCCCTGCTTATTTCTGCAAAATCCAAGGTTGCCTGCAAATCAGGTTTGGTACATGCCCACAGCTGCCCCAGGCTGAACACATCGGGACCTGGCTCCTGCCCAAGCGTAGTGGGGCTGCAGAAGCCAGGTGCTCCCACCTGCATCCTCCGGGACGGTGGTGTTGCCAGCACATGCCCAAAACACACTTTGATCAGGTCCCACAGTCTGCTGGCACTGACCCATTTCTTTTAAAACCAGTCAGCTGGATAGATGAGACCTTACTGCGGCCTTCCAGTACTTAAAGAGGGCTTGTGAGAAAGACTTTTTTAGCAGGACCTGTTGTGATAGGACAAGGGGTTAATGGTTTTAAACTAAAAGAGGGTAGATTTAGACTAGATATAAGGAAGACATTTTTTACAATAAGGGTGGTGAAACACTGGAACAGGTTGCCTAGAGAGGTGGTAGATGTCCCATCCCTGGAAACATTCAAGGTCAGGTTGGACAGGGCTCTGAGAAACCTGTACTAGTTGAAGATGTCCCTCCTCATTGCAGGGGGGTTGGAGTTAGATGATCTTTAAAGGTCCCTTCCAACCCAAACTATTCTATGAGTCTAGGGATGGGATGGGATGGGATGGGAAGGGATGGGATGGGATGGGATGGGATGGGATGGGATGGGATGGGATGGGATGGGATGGAGGGAGGTGCTGGGTGTCCTGCCTGGCCCTGCCTCTTGTGCAGCACTGGCTGCATTAATGCCACCATGTTCACACTGGTGAGCCTTACATGTTGTCCTGCTTCCCTCTCCAGGCAATTATCAGAGGAGAACGCTAATCTTCAAGAATACGTTGAGAAAGAAGTGGAGGAGAAGAAGAAGCTGAGCAGGACTAATGAAGAGCTCCTCTGGAAGCTGCAGGAGGGAGAAGCTGTGAGCCCCGTGAAACTCCCACCCGCGTCGTCCACTTCTTTTCATCGCTGCGCATCCGGGGACTCCTCTCCAGCTAAAGTCAGAACCTTGCGGCGGTGATTTCGCCCCAGCGCGCCAAAGGTCCCCTGCCTTTTATGCATTTCCAATCTGCTAAATGTTACCATCCAAGGAAGTCTTACCATCATCAGGCGCCCAGGGCTCATGGCTGCAAGCGTGCTTGGTAGCTGCATAGCTTTACACTAGGCAGGGTACTCTTACAGTCCCCATATAGGAGATCTTGGTTCTGACGTGGTGATGAGGGTAGCAAAGAAGACAGCAAAAAGCCAGGACAGCAGAAGGTTAGAATAGCAAAGCGGTTAGTTTGATGTATTAAGATTTTAACTATGGTTAGAGCCAAAAGTTGGAAAATACTATATTAATGGTTCATCAGAATGAACTTTTGCTGCAGTATTTCAGGTTAGTTACAAATACAGTTCAAGTTGTTAATATTTCTGTATATGTGTCTGTGTTTATATACATGTACGTATTGTACCTTTATACCTATATATAGACGCACACACATATATACGTAGTTGAAGATGTTCTGAATTGCATTTTTTTATATTATTGGATACTATTAAGTGCTGATATATTTTCATGACAGTCAGCAGTTTTCTAACTCGTGCCTAAGACTTGTATCTAAATGAAAAGCATTTCTGTTTAGCTTCCCAGGAATATTTATACCCAATGTAGAAGAAAGTTACACAGAAGTAGAAGCGCCTTCCAAATGACCACCAAGTGGTACTCTATTTAACAAGAACACCAGCGACTTTGAAATTTTGAGACAGTACTGCCTTTGAAACCATCACCTTTGCATTGAACACCAGACCAGATACGCATACTACTCACTGCTTTTTAACTCTTAGCATCGATATTGTAAGTGGACATAGTATAGAGATGAGAAACCTGAGGGTTTTAGCAAATTTGGTAGAGGTTACTGGTTAACGTGTTTCAATTTTAGTGACTTTAAATCCTAGTTAGGTCTTGTCTTATTTTACCTTGTCCTGGTTTGAATACAACTAAAATATCTGGTTGTAACTGCCTCTCCATTTTGATTTATTTTAAGTCCCATAAGCAAGAAGGAGAAAATAAGTTATTCAACCTTGATCTTTGCTGGCCAAGAGGTTTCCAGCATTAGGATGAGATACCAGGCACCTGCCAGGGCTCTAGGTTCCTCCCATCTGAAACACCAAACAGAGCGCAGCGGACTACATGGGCGCAAATGAGGTCAGAATTTCTTTCCTTCCACATATATACATTATTTCACGTTGCTAAAGCTTGCCCAAAGTTACAGAGCACTTTTTGAAGATTCATGGAAAAGAGTGGCTAAACTACCTTTAACTTTCCCTGCCTAGAAGCAAAAAAAAAAAAAAATTCACCCAGGGTTGGGGTGACCCCCACCCACCCAAAGGGGTGGTGAGGCTGAGGAGTGGCTGGGATGGGACGGGTGCAGGGCCCTTGTGGGCACTGCTCGCAAGAAAAAAATATGCCTGAGCATAATTTAAAAAGAGGAAAAAAGAAAGAAAAAGAGATCTGTGGGATGCTTTTCTATCCAGCTTGTGGCAGAGAGCCTGAGTGTGTTCCTGGTCTGAGCACCGGGGTCAAGGCAAGCGAGAGACCGTACGTGCAGCAAACCCCTGGGGTGGGGGAGGGCGGCTCTCCTTCCCACCCGGCTCTGCTTCAGCTTTCCTGGGAAGTCCTCAGGATTCACAGACTGCAGCTTAGATACAGCTTCAACCATCATCAAAGCGCCTGTGGCCTGTTCCACAGCACTTAAAAAAAAAAAAAAAAAGGTGGGTTTTTTTTCTTCTTTTTAGAGAAATTTATTTTTGTAGCAGCTTTTGCATGATACTGAGTAAACTGAGCATCTTGTTAGAATAGATCCTGCCACACCAACTACTACTGTTGAAGTGCATTACTAGATTTTAGTGTGTCCAGCAAATACAACCTGAAAGTAGAATAGATGCCTAACACACACGCATACAAAGCCCCTCCTTGCCAAGTACAATTTTAATCACTTTCACACGTGCTAAATGCCCAGATACCTGCAATATCTACTGCATTGTTATGTTGCAGTCTGCCCATGCAATTCTGAGGCAATGAGATCATAGAACTATAGAATGGTTCAGGTTGGAAGGGACCTTTAAAGACCATCAAGTCCAACCCTCCTGCCATGGGTACGGACATCTTTCAGCAGATCATGCTGCTCAAAGCTCCATCCAACTTGACCTTGAACACTTCTAGGGATGGAACAGCTACAACTTCTCTGGACAACCTGTTCCAGTGTCTCATCATCCTCATTGTAAATAATTTCTTTCTTATGTTCAATTTAAGACTACTATCTTTCAGTTTAAAGCCATTACCCCTTGTCCTGTTGCTACAGGCCCTGGTAAAAAGTCTCTCTCCATCTTTCTTATAAGCCTCCTTTATGTATTGAAAGGCCACAATAAGGTCTCCCTGGACCCTTCTCTTCTCCAGGCTGAACAACCCCAGCTCTCTCAGCCTGTCTTCACAGAAGAGGTGCTCCAGCCCTCTGATCATCCTTGTGACCCTCCTCTGGACCTGTTCCAACAGGTCCATGTCCTTCCTGTGGTAAGGGCTCCAGAGCTGGATGGAATACTCCCAGGTTGGGTCTCTGTAGAGCAGAGTAGAGGGGCAGAATCCCCTCCCTCAACCTGCTGGCCACACTTCTTTTGATGCAGCCCAGGATGTGGTTGGCTTTCCAGGCTGTGAACGCACATTGCTGGATCATGTCCAACCTTTCATCCACCAGTACTGCCAAGTCCTCCTCAGCAGGGCTGCTCTCAATCCCTTCATCCACCAGTATCACCTAGTGATACTGGGAATTTCCCTGACCCAGGTGCAGGACCCTGCACCTGGTCTTGTTAAACCTCATGAGATTCGCATGGGCCCACTTTTTGAGCTTGTCCAAGCCCCTCTGGATGGCATCCCTTCCCTCAGGTGCATCAACCAGACCACTTGGCTTGGTGTCATCTGCAAACTCACTGAGGGTGCACTCAATCCCACTGCCTATGTCATTAGTAGAGGTAGTAAACAGTACTGGTCCCAGCACAGATCCCTGAGGGACACCACTTGTTACTCATCTCCATTTGGACATTGAGCACTTGACTGCAAGTCTTCAGACGCAGCCATCCAGCTGATTCCATATCCAACACCCATCCATCAAACCTCTGTCTCTCCAGTTTAGTGACAAGGATGTTGTGTGGGGCTGTATCAAAGGCCTTACAGAAATCCAGGTAGATGACATCGGTTGCTCTTGCCTTATCCACCAACACAGTCACTCCATCACAGAAGGCCACCAGATCAGTCAGGCTGACTTGTTGGTAGTTTCTAGGGTCCTCCTTTTTCCACTTCTGAAAAATGGGTGAGATGACACAACCAGAGTTGTTGCCATGATACTAATCTGACCTTTTCCAGCTGAACACACTAGAGCATACTGATGGGCTGGCTGAGCCTGCCCTTTTTAAATTTATTCATTCTTTCCCTCTATTTCTGGTGCTTTTCTGATCACTTTGGTTTAAATTCATATGCAAGAGATGCTTCCAGCAGTGAATTGGGAGTGGGGCTTTTATGGTGGGAAAACTGGGACCGATCCCAGCTCCACCATTGTTTGGTATCATTGCCAATCACTTTCCCATCTAAGTTTTGCCTCCCAATCCTGCCTCTCACTGGGTTCTTCCGTGGCACGGCCTCCAGGGCCTGCCCGATCGCTAGCAAAGCTGCAGGAAGTTTTGCCTGACCAGCAGGGACTCAGCAACCCCCTGCGGGGGCCTGAAGAGTGGTTTCTTCTGGTGCAAGCCCAGAAGCACGGACTGTTTTCCCCCAGAAAGGTCATTCCTTTTTTCCTGCTCTTCCTCTGCCCTGTCCCTCCATGCCGGAGTAGGTGTGAAGGGGAATGGAGACCCCCAAACACCTGGCCAAGCTGGTGACCAAGGGAGCTCTCGCCAGGGAGCTGTGACCCTGCGGGCTGAGCTTGGCATTCCTAGGGGTCTGGGGGCCACCTCTCTAGTCCTTGCTCCTTGGCCATCCCTTGCTCCAAGATGAGCAAGGGGAAGGGGCTTTTGCTTTTGAGGGTCTGGAGACTTCCCAAAGGCCAAGGCCAGCGTGGTGGCTCTTCCTGCTTTGGAGGGTGGAGCGGCCTTTGGCAGGAGAGGGAACGCCAACAGCTCTGAGCCGGGTTTTATTGCCCTTTTGTCTATAAAAAGGAGACGTTTGCTTTGGTTAATCTTTATTCAACGCAGAAGGCCGCAGCGGCAATAAAACCAGCTGACAGTTGCTCTGAAGGGGCTCCAGGGCCTGGGCGACAGCAGTGGGACAGCAGGAGAGCCGGCGGCCAGCGGAGGGCATGGAAAGCTGCAGGAAAGCTCTGGTTTTCTGCAGGAAAGGGCCAATCCTGCTGGGATCTCCCGCAGCAGCTGGCTCAGGGGGGTTGTGTCAGGAGATGCACAGCGGCAAAGACTGAGGGTGGTGGTGGGGGGTAAGGGGGGAAAGGAAAAACTATCAAGTGCAAAATCAGGTATTTTACGTCTCTGCACTGATGGTGGTTGTGTCCCATGGACACGCTGAGGAGCCTCTGCAGAGTTTCCCAGGCAGCAGGAGTTCTGTGGTCCCGTTTAACTTTTCGTGGCTCATGGTTACAGGAAGAGTTTGTATTATTTCGGTTATGATGTACAGATAAGTGTAATATATTCCTGATAATAAACACATGCGCCAGGGCACACAGGGGCCGACGCGCACGAACCAGCGTGTCCTGTGGTGCTTTGTGTACACAGAGACAGGGAAAAATGGAAAACAAAGCAAAACCCCACTAGAGGGTTACCCCATCGGGGTGAGGACGTAAGGTGGGCAGCCACTGCACTTCCTGGCAGCGGCAGATGGGTTACCTGACCATGGTTCACACACTGTAAACTGGATCAAAAAATCCCATGGGTTCATTTTCTAAGGGCACTTCCTGTAGGGTTGGGGCTGCCAGGAGACCAGGTCCGCAGAATCACAGAATTGTCATGGTCGAAAGGACCTCTGAGATCACTGAGTCCAACCACACACACAAAAAACAACCCCCACCCCTATAATCCTGGTCACTAGAACATGCCTTGAAGTGCCACCTCTACACGTTTCTTAAACACCTCCAGGGATGGCAACTCCACCACCTCCCTGGGCAGGCTGTTCCAGTGCCTGACCACTCTCTCAGTAAAGTAATTCTTCCTAATATCTAATCTAAACCTCCCCTGCTGCAACTTCAGACCATTTCCTCTGGGCCTGTCATTATTCCCTTGGGAGAAGAGGCCAACACCCACCTCTCTACAACCTCCTTTCAGGGAGTTGTAGAGGGCAATGAGGTCCCCCCTCAGCCTCCTCTTCTCCAAACTAAACATGCCCAGTTCCCTCAGCCTCTCCTCATAGGTCTTGTTCTCCAGACCCCTCACCAGCTTGGTGGCTCTCCTCTGGACACGCTCTAGCAGCTCAATGTCCGTCCTGTAGTGAGGGGCCCAGAACTGGACACAGTACTCGAGGTGAGGCCTCACCAGTGCCCAGTACAGAGGCACCATCACTGCCCTGCTCCTGCTGGCCACGCTATTCCTGATACAGGCCAGGATGCTGTTGGCCTTCTTGGCCACCTGGACACACTGCTGGCTCACGTTAAGCCAGCTGTCCACCAACACCCCCAGGTTCTTTTCTGCCAGGCAGCTCTCCAGCCACTCTTCCCCAAGCCTGTAGCCTTGACTGGGGTTGTTGTGACTGAAATGCCAGACCCAGCACTTGGCCTTGTTGAAACTCAGTGTTTGTATTAAGGTATTGTGCTTCTGCAAGAGGTGAGGGGAACATTTCTGCTGGTGGTTCAGGCAAGGCAGCAAACATGCACGCTGGGTAGCGTGCTGGTCACCCACATTTCAACACCCCCTCCCACTGAGGACAACCAGTTCCTCAGGCTTTGCCACAAGGATCAAGAAGGGGCCATGGCATGTCCCACCTCAGGAAGGTGCCTGATAATCATAGAATCAGAATTGTCTAGGTTGGAAAGGACCTTTAAGATCATCTAGTCCAACCACCAACCTAAGTCTGATAAAAAACCATCACTAAACCATGTCACTAAGCACTATGTCTACCCACCTTTTAAATACCTCCAGAGATGGTGCCTCAACCACTTCCCTGGGCAGCCCATTCCAATGCTCAATAACCCTTTCAGTGTAAAAATTTTTCCTGATACCCAATCTGAACCTCCCCTGGCACAACTTGAGGCCATTTCCTATTGTTCTATCGCCTGTGACTTGAGGGAAGAGACTGACCCCCACCTCTCTACACCCTCCTGTCAGGTAGTTGTAGACAGCAGTAAGGTCTCCCCTCAGCCTCCTCTTCTCCAGGCTGAACAACCCCAGCTCCCTCAGCCTCTTCTCATAAGACTTACTCTCCAGACCCCTCACCAGCTTCGTTGCCCTTCTCTGGACCCGCTCCAGCACCTCAATGTCTTTTTTGTGGTAAGGGGCCCAGTACTGGACACAGTACTCAAGGTGGGGCCTCAGTGTTCTCCTGAAGGATTTCCCACCAGGCCCTTGGCTTGCTCAGCCCAGAGGAAGCCATGAAGGACCAGGAGGTCTGAGAGGAAAGGGAAAGGTTCATGAAGTACCCCCTCAGAACTGGTAGCAGGAGACAGGGAGAGACTCACCTCACTGTCAGCTGCTCAGTGCCGAGCCTGTGGCAAATTCCCCAAATTACGTATTGTCCCACCGGTCTCAGCAAACCCCAGAGACGGGGCAGAGTCAACAGCTCCCAAAGCAAGTGCTGTCCTGGAGAAACTGGGACAGCCAGCAGACGCTGGGACAAGCTGGGAACCAGAGGCAGGCTTATAAACGTGGGTAAACAACAGGCATCGCTTATCTGGGTATCAAGAGAAAACGTTTTAATGCTGTACCACATAATTACAAGTGAACTTCCAAATTCCAAACGCATGGTTCAGGGGAGAAGCATTTACAGTGTCATCAGGATAAAAGGTAGCCGCACACCCGCGCTGTGCTCTGGGGGCAAGGTTCACATTTTAAAACTTAAGGCTTTAATCGCTACATGAACACGGTAAAAAAAAAAAATAATTAAAAATCAAACCAAAAGATAAAAAATAGATTTGTTTGCAGAACAAGCATTAAAACTATTTATCACGCCCCTAAGAAATTCTGAGAAATCATTAGGAAAATAGACCATCAAACAGAACACAGAAAGGTATTTACATTTTGCTTAATAATTAAAAAATAAAAATATACAGACTCTTCCATGGCTTCAATCAGTAAAAACCCCTTTACCATGACCCAAAC